TCTGCTCTGACTATAAAGAATACAGTTAAATTAAATTAAAATACATTTTATTTAATACGTCTACAGACTGCATGAAGGTTCTACATCTACCATCTGTAGATGTAGAACAAAAGCAAAACAAACAAAAAAAAAGGTAGTTAAATTACTAATAACCTTAATTCATATACTCACAAATCACAATTTAAGAATTTGCCAATTCAAAGTAGCCACGCTTTAGGACCGAATTATTCGTATCTTTGGAAAAACATTTATATCTCATAGATGAGCGACTGTTTTAACAAGTCCCATTTTTAAATTACAGTCTAAGAGCCTCTAAAGACCATTTGCTATTATTACAAGCCTGTAATAATAACAATAATAAATACTTCCTGACAATTGCACATTATAATATAAATATTTAAACTGCAACAGAAGACACCTTCTTAAACAGAATAATTCAATCAGGCCATCCAGTGAAATACAGAACACAGAAAAGCCCTTCATTCATAAAACAAACATTTATGCACTTAATTATCATGTGAGGGGAAATATTCCCTCAGTTACTAGGCGACCTTACAAAACTAACACCCTACTAAAGAATTTAAAACACCATTTGAAAATCCCAGTCTGCCTGAAATGAGCCAAGGTGGTGAAGAAACTTGTGATAAAATCTTATTGCATTATGATAATCCATCCATCTATGCTACCTTACAAGCCTTGGGGTCGACTGGGGTGCTGGTGCCCAGCTCCAGAGGTCAACGGGTCAGAGGCGGGGTCAACCTGGACAGGTCACTAGTCCATCACAGGGCAACACAGAGACATTCATGCACTAAATTCTACAAGGAGAACAGATCAATTTCTCTTAACTCCCATATTGTTGTGCAAGCATCAGTGGAGGGAAGCAGCTGTCAACTAATAGAAGGAGTGACCCGGCTAATTTCTGTGCAATAATCCAATTAGGAGCTGATAAAAGTATTCATAATTCAGGTAAATAATTCATCACAATGAAAATTACCTCACTTCTCATGATGTAGGTGTAATATAGAAGCACAATTAAGGGACAAAATGGCGGCACAGTTCGATAAACAGAATCAGAGACACTTCCTATAGATGTGTAACACAATCACTGTGCCAACCTCTTGTTGTCTATTTCATGAATTAAACTGCTATTTATGAAAACTAATAACGGACAAAAAAACCATCTACTATCTATTCAAATGTTTTGCAAAGAATGCTTTGTTCCAACACCAGATGGGATTTAATTGATCATTCATTTCTAAAAAATGTTTCCTCGAAACAAAGCTGCAGCTGAATTCACCTACTTTGTTTGATGCCTGTCCTTTGCGTGACCTTGTCTTTTTCACAGCACAGATTACCACTGTACTCTCGCTCTACATTTAAATCTCTTTAACAAATAATCACTGTGAGGTCTGTAGGACAGTAAATGTCGCTATCGAAACCATTATGATGCCAGTTTGAGCAATGCCCATATTACAGATCAAGAAATCTGTGTTGGATTGTTCATGTTTGTAGTTTCCAGAGGAACCTGAAGCACCCCGGTAGACCTTTGAATGTCTTAACGCCTCCGTATTTTACCCGATGCCCAAGCAAAGCCTTTCGGTCCTTCTGGCATGTACAGATCCATGTCAAGTCTCTTCTGCTCTTCTTCACTGCTGACTGCCTTGTAGTGGAGCATTGACATGGCCTCTTTACACACTTCCTGAATGCGTTTGACCTTGTTGTGCGGCACTCTGGTGCGCCAAGCCTGGGACACTTGGGCAGCGTTTCTGGAGATAACCTCGAAAGCATCATTCAAGTTGCCTTTCCCCCTTCCGTGGGTCATCTTAACTATCCATTCCTCCATCTCTTTGGTCATCTTTAAACCTACAAAGTCATAAATATCACTGATCTCCTGAAGCGGGAAGCGTGTCACATCTTCATAGCGAACCAGCTTGTAGCGACCCTTGAGGAACGGAGGAGGGTCCTGGGTGGCTGTTTTGTTGATCTGGATGTGACTCTGGCAGATTTTCTTCATGACTTGAAACTGCTCCTCAGCTGCTGGTGCGTCTCTGTGCTCCAAGACGATGGTATTGTCCATCTTAAAGGATAAAGCTGACTCCTCTCTGGACCTGTACACGGCCCGAGGATCTCGGATAAGATGAACAATGCGCAGGTCAAGATTGGGGTCTTGAAAAAGAGGGTAAAGGGATTCCAGCTCAAAAAATCTAGTTTCTTTTAAAACCACATGGCTGTAAATCTGGCAGGAATTTGTCACCTTCTCAAAATCTAAACCGTGGCATTCCTTTTGGCACTCTTTCATGCTGCTTATCTGACCAAACGGTGTGACAGAACAGACTGGCGGCGAGCACAGTGCCCGACTCTGATACCACATAAAGAGGGAGGAGGTCTTGCGATTTTTTGGCATGTAGGAATCCATCACGGAGAAGTCACACTGGAACACGCTCCGCATTAGATCCCTCACAGCCATCCGGAGAGTATGCGCACCAGAAGTCCTCATTGTGCTCCACGCGTGCCACGCGGGCTCCATGAGATAGAAAACAGACGGGTGCTGGCTAAACACCTGACCCAGGAAGGATGAACCCGATCGCCATGACGACAGCAGCAAGACGTGAACTTTGCGGTCCACAGGAGGAGAGTCACAAGGGCAGAGCTGGTAGTACCAGTTGCAGAACATCACCACTGCTGCCCCCTGCAGGAGCACCAGGAAAATCAGAGTGTTGAAGTTCACCCTTAAGGCGGGTCTCATGTCTGGAGATCACTGTCAGCTTCTAGCGCAGGAGAACATCAGCTTTGTTATTCAGTCTGTGAAGACGAATTCAACTGATTCACGCTGAAGTCGATCAGCATCCAGGGGGTTTGAGACGAGTTTTCTGCAGGAAGAAAGGCAAACAGAAAAAAGAGAGATATTGGTACAATCAAACATGACAGCTTTTGACAAAAATTACAGAGAGCTCCTGCTCTTTATCAACCTCTAGGAAGTGCCTTAAGAGAGAGAGAAGCTACAAAGCTTGAGCTTTAAAGTGTTGCTTTTGGAATATTTTGCAACAAATGTTCCCCTGTGTTGAAAATAAAGCATGTATGTGTTTGTAAAATCAGCCTCTGAATGGTTAATGGTGAGAACTTCTTGATCCGATTGAAATGAGACGCTCCCTCCTGTCAGTTCGTAAGGTGTTGCACCAGGTGAAGAATGAGTAAGTGATGCCTTCAGAAGCAGTAGGAAAAACAAAGCTCCAAGCAAGAAAAAAGAAGGTGGTTACAAATTTAACGAAGTTTTATATCCAATATTTAAACAAAAAATAGACATAACTGGAATCACTAAGAAGAACAGGAAGACAAGCACAAGATTCTTCTAACCAAAATAAGAAAATAACACAAAATAATGAAACTATAATGACCAAGAAAGGACTGAACTAAGGTGAAACAAAGACATAACTGATCTAAATTAAAGGGAGAACAGAAATAAGCAAAACCCTACCAGACACACTGGGAACCTGACACTT